ACGGGGGAGGGGGAGAGCACCCCCCTGAAATGATGGCAGATAGCACAGGAAGCTATCTGCTGTATTTTTTTTAGTATTCTGACAGCTGCTGCCGTCAGAACAATAATTTAACAAAACAGCATAGGAATGAATAGCTAGACTGCTATTGGCTATTTCAATTTGCAATATCCAATAGCAAGCTGGCTATTTCACCCGTCCTCTGCTGCTGTCAATCACTAGAAGAGGACCTGATGGAGAACTTCAGGTCCCCCTCTACTGACAGCAGCAGTGGTTGGGTACAATAGCTAGTCTGCTATTGACTATTGCAAAGTAAAATAGCCAATAGCAATCTAGCTATGCATTCCTATGCTGTTTTTTTTTTTCTCTGACTGACGGCGACCCGTGGCCCCGATGTCAGGAAAAAAAAAACAGATTGCAGGGAAAGGTTTACTCTGCTAGATATAGCAGAGTAACCTTTCCCGGAGAAAATGTTGCTCTCCCGAGTGGCCGGGAGCCGCTATCTAATAGCGGGGGACTCCCGCAGTGTCCGGGAGAGTTGGGATGTCTGTAATGGTGTAGGCAGACCAGTCACCAGCCTGCACTATTAAATCCAGTGAATATTGGATCCATTCAGAAAAGGATAGATGTTCTCCTCCATCCAGGCCTGCTCTGTCTCCCGCCCTCCGGCTCGTGATGTGATGGTAGGGCTCTAATGTGGAGGGGGGGCTAAGAACTCTCATGTGAAGGGGGCTTCTGATGTCAAGGTGGAACTCTGATGTGAAAGGGCAGTATTCTGATATGAAAGGGGGGCTCTGATGTAAATGGGATTACTCTGGTGTGAAAGGAGCACCTTATGTAACGGGGGTTCCTGATGTGAAAGGGAGGATTCTGACTTGAAAGAGGAAACTTCAATGTGAAGAAGGGAACCCCACTTTTGTGGTATTGCATGGGTGTTCCCCCATAAAATCTATTAGATTTTTAGACTGGGAAGACTCGAGATTTTCATACTTTTAAAGGGTGCCTTGAATGAAAAAAGGTTGAGGAATTCTGTTCTAGAACACTATTAGTAGAGTGTGAACTGACAGGACTACAGAATCAGGGCCATCCATATAATAAGGCAGCCTGAGGCATCTCTTTGGGTCACTTGGGGAGACAGCAGGCAGAGCGGCATGGCCGTGTGCCTTCTGCCCCCTTTCCGGCCAGTGGAGTCCAGGTTGCAAAGAGCTGGCATGACATCACTGGTTGCCAGGAACTGGGTGGAACGCACACTGCCTCCCCTGTTCACGGTTAGCGAGCACCAGCGTCACCATTCCCCCACCTCAGGCGGTGAAGACGCTAGGGGCACCCCTGCAAACAATGATGCCTTATACTGTACAAGTCGTAGGGCCAGAGTGGTCAACAAGGTCAAACACTTGCTACAGTTAGTGTAACTGGTGACTTGTCATTGTTTTTGTTATACAGCTATGATGTGGGAACGATCAATGCATCAGCAGAAGGAGTGCACATTAGAACAGAGCTGGATCTTTCACGGGACTCAAGAGGACGTTTGAAGATTACCAACATGTCATGTGATGCAACTATCAACAGAATGCAGGCTGGATTCAGTGGCACACTCAAGTAAGCTTAGTTGTATTGCTATAAGACTGTAAAGAGACAGCCCCCCCCTTATGGTTATGCTATGGGCCCTATCATTGATAGTTATGCATTGTGTTCTAAGCCTGCATAAGTATAATCAAATAAAATATTGGTTCATCAAAAGTAAGGGCAGGGCAGAAGCCATTTAAACCCCAACTCTAACCCAAACCTTTTTTTAGGTTTCCCCCCACTTCCTGGCCAGTTGATACCATGAGGCTGATATACTAAGTTGAGATTCTTCACACTTAATTATGTGAAAAGGAAATTCTTCTTCACTATTTTCATCTCCACATAACTGAGTGTTATTATTTTTTTATATAGCACTGACAATTAATGCAGTGCACATTCACCTCAGTCCCTGCTCAGAAGGAACTTACAATCTAAAGTCGCTATTGCATACACACTAGAGCAGGGGCACCCACAATTTTTTCGTTCGGAGATCTACTTTTCAAATGACAAGCTCAATGAGATCTACCATCGAAAAAACACCTGCATTCAGGGGGGATGGAGCATGGCGGTGCATTGAAGTCAATGGCACCGCAGCCACGCCCCTCACCCGCAGTGCGATCACCCACACCCGGAACACAGGCACATTAGTGCCTGGGTTCCGGTCCAGTGCGATCTGCAAAAAGGCTGCAAGCACTATTTTTGCAGATTGCACTGGACCAGAACGCAGGCAGGCGATCGCACTGTGGGCGGGTGGCATGGCTGTGGTGCCATTGACTTCAATACAACCCCACGCACCCTCCTGCCCCGGAACGCAGGGAGTCGGCCGGCTTGCATTCCAGTGCGTTCTAGAGATAGTGCTATGTGCCCCCAGTTATTTACAAACACTGGAGTGATCGGAGAGGGGAGAGCAGCGGAGATCCAGCGAAGTCCAACGGCAGGAGGACAGGACATTACAATCTACCAGGATTGCTTTGCGATCGACGTAATGGGCACCCCTGCACTAGAGCCAATTAACCTATCAGCATGTCTTTTGGAGTGTGGGAGAAAACCCACAAAAGCACAAGGAAAACATGCAGACTCCTTGGAGATAGTGTCCTGCCTTGCCCCCATGCTGCAAGGCAGAAGTCCTAACCACTACGTCACCTGGTGGACAGTGTTCAAAATGAGCAGGCATTTGCTTTTCTGTAAATATTAGTAAAATTGAAGTGAATATTTACACCATTTATAATACAATGATTGTCAGCTCATTAAGTAAATCAGCCCCATGTGCTGGTTTGACAGTGTGTCCCTGGGACAGAAAGCGAGGGGAATTCTGCATTATTGGGACACAGGCAGAATTATCCCATGTTTTATCCATGTTTGGTACATCCAAGCCTTCGAGGGGTGAAAACAAGCTCACAGTTTAGTGAAATAAATCATCGCAGGTCCTTTATTTATGGTTAAAGTGACACTAAACTCAGGAGTTAACTCTTTAAATGCATTCAAGTACCCTATTAACAAAAATGTACCTTATTTGTGTCTCACTCGGCTGTAGATCCTCAAATCATCTCTGAATTCATGCCAACACTGTCTGTCCTTCTGGAGGGTGGCTACTTTTGTTCCTCATGGTCTCTGTGTGTGTTGTAAAGTAGTCACCGATCCAAGCTGACTCCCATGATGGACTACAATCTCAATACAAATTAGTAAACTAAACATGTTGTAGTCCATCATGGGAGTGAGCTTGGAGCACTCCAGAAGGAAGGACAGTGTCAGTATGAATTCAGAGATGATATGACGATCTACAGCCAATTGATACACAAATAAGATACAATTTTGTTAATAGTTAAGACACTTGAATACATTCTTAAGGTTTAACTATGGAGTTTAGTGTCACTTTAACGCTAAAGTGATGAGCGGTAAAGGCTTTTGAAGCGTCACATATTGATAAGTATGGGTGCGATAATTTTCCAATGTTTTGCGGTCGCAGTTTTTGAGACTTGATATATTTGGTATCTATTTACGCGTCACACCCTAATTTATAATATAAACACCCTCATATATTTTTTTATAAAAATTAGGAATCAAATTTGTTTTTTTTTGGGCACCAAAAGTTATTTTACTGTATTTTTTCCTAAAAATCGAGATTGTATAAACAGGTTCACAAATATAATGCAACATAAAAAATTGCAACTACCATCTTTTTATTCTGCTTCCGCTTTCAGAAAATATATAATTGTTTGGGTTTTTTTTAAAAGTAATTTTGTTGCCAAAAAATGCAGATTTTAACATTTGAAAAAAAAAGGAATAAATTGTTCCAGAGGCAAAGTGGATACTACCTAACTAACAGATATTCTAACCATTCGGCACGATAACCCAAACCCAAAAAAAGTTTTGGGTGCAGTTGAGCTTTGAAGCTGATCTCTCGAATAAGAAGATGTCACCTAAATACAAGAGTCAAGTCTATTCTTGAATCTTGTTGTACTTTGTGTACTTCTTCCAAATCTCTGCAGTAATACAGTGTGGAACTTTACCTCTGTGCAGCAGCTTCCTGTAATAAAGACCGGTCACTACTGCTGACTCTCCTTGTGCAGGGTGACTGGTCTTGTATCCGCCCCCTTGCGTAGTTTTCTGCAGGCTGTCTATAGTTGATGGGGCCTGTTGAGTCCCACCCACAGCTCTGCTATCTGCACAGACTATGTACAGGACAGTGATGATCTCACTGCTCCTTCTGTTCACTGAATGGGGTCTGCAATAATTTGATACAGGACAGCAAATAAATGGAGCAGTCCCTTAGCATAGAGATACAAAGCAGTCGAAAAAAGCAAAAAGGTCTCCCAGGTAAGGAGTAACTGGGAGTAGCGGTTCATAAAAATAAATCGAGACCAGTTATATCAATGAAAATAGTAAAAAATTTATTATAGTAACCAGGATGCCAAGGAACATTGACATGCTTCTCAAAATTCAAAATTTAAAAAACAACGTTGTGACACTCATGCATACACTCATACAAACCCATGGGCCCCACACATATATTGACAATGTAAACCTCCTAGTTGTCCTCGAGGGAATTCTTCGTTTGTGATATTAATCCCTAGCAACTTATAAGTGATCTTCGATAATGGCCACAGTTGTATTCCTGTAAATAAGGGGATATCCTGTATCACGAAGGAAATCAATTTATGGATAATATCCTTTTGGGATCTGTGTCCATTTAAGGATTTCAGAAACAATGTATTCTTCGATAGCAGTATTGCAGTGTCCCCGTAGTAAACATAAACTCAGGTAATTAGGATTTCTTTGAAGTATCACTGTACTGTTGGATATATTATTTCAATGTCCGGGCTTCAGCGTGAGTCCATAACACCCGTCACTTAATCGTGACTGGAGAGGGGAGACATGTGAGATATATTACCATCAATATGTCGTTGTACTCACTGTTGGTTGTCTCGACCCTGTCGTATCCACTCTGGTCTTGGGGAAGCTTATCCCTTGGATTTTAACTGTAGACACGGTGCACCGTGGTTTTAAAGTACACCAGTGTTCAACACAGTGGTGTTTGGCTCCACGTCTAACAGCCGGTATTTTTCTCCTCTTGTGGATGTGGTGGATCTATTGCATGATCCATTCACATGGAGGTTGTCTCGTGTCTAGGGTCACACAGCTGCTCAATCAAGCATACTTCAGTCCATTGTGACGTAGAGTTTATGTAGAAGCAGTGCATGGCTTATTACAACAAAAGAATAGGAATCTCTATAATCAGCCGCACGAGACCGTAATCCGTAAAATCCAAGTTTATTGTTGTAAATTCAATACAAAGTCCAACGTTTTGGTAAATACAGCTCTCCCATTCTAACGCCTCTAACGTATTTCACCACCTGGGCTTAATCATAGAGGTCCGGACTGATTATACGGATTCCAGTTTCGTGCGGCAGATTGCAGAGTTATTGTATAAGGAGTGGGAGCACACTGCAGCATGCACCGGGTGTTAATACTGATCTGCAGTCGGAGGTGGAATGCAGCAGTGACTCTTGTCATTTCTAGGTAGAAGAATGAGAATATTTGTCATAGAACATATACAGTCCACATCCAGAATGTTGCTTTAACAGTGTACCTTTACCTCTACTTTGGTCATAAGTATGTTCCTCTCATTGCAGGAGGGTATATGAATTCCTTGCTACATTCATAACAACTGGGATGCGATTTCTTCTAAACCAGCAGGTAGGTTTGAAGGCTATAAAATATCGAGACACAGTGGCACTAATAATACCAGAGGAGAGCTAGCAGGGGTAAGAGGTAACATTTCCCTTGAATTATATTTGTTTTTATGAATGCCAGTTCTGGTAGTATAGAGAATCTTAGAATAATTTACATGGGACATATTTGCAATCAACGTGACTACCTGTGATTTGCTTGCGTCTTTTTGCCCTCTTTGTTTAATGCACTATATGGTCAAAAGTTTGTGAACACCTTGCCATCTCACTTATATGAGGTTTTATGATGCTTTTATAGACTTTGTACACAGGGGCATTGTCATTCTGGAATAGAAAAAGGTCCCTCACCAAACTGTTGCCACAAGGTTTCGAAGAGTACAATTATCTAACATGTGCTTGTATCTATAGAACTACCTACCAGTACCCTTCACTAGAAACACCTGAGTTCAAACATTTGGAGGCATAGTGGGGTTGACTTACTTAAAGGGTAAGTTTACTTTCCACAAGTGAATTAGGAAAAATTGAATTACTCGCTCAAATCAAGACCACTTTACCCCCCCAGCTTTACTTACCTTTTGCCAAACATTCCTTCCCCTCCGCCAGTACGGGTGTACTACCAGTACCCCATGATGCCACGTAGTGCAGCCCTGCGGTATGAATTTTTAATTTCGTTCATAAATTGTGAGTACCCATTGGTCAGTGCGGTCAACTGACTGCACTGAGCAATAAGAAGTGCTTCATAGCCAGAAGCACTTCTCATTGGGTAGAAGTGCTAACCACGCAAACTCGCAACTTGCAAGCGAAATTCAAAATCCATAGCACCGGGCTGCACTACACAGCAGTAAAGAGCGGCGGAGGAGAAGGAACATTTGCCGAAAGGTAAGTATAGCAAGGAAGGGGGAGAGAGGGCCAGATTTGAGCAGGTAATTCCATTTTCCCAAATTAATTTGGGAATGTAAGCTTACCCTTTAAGGAGTGGAACGTGTTCACTTTGAAAAAAGAAATCCACTTTTCAGAGTGAATGTTCACTTTTTGTTCTAAATAAAGTAAAACAAAGTAAATATACCCAATCATATTAGTGGGACATTGGCACATGTGGTTACCCCTTGTTCTAAATGGGCAATATTTTTGAACAGTTCTTTTTTTTACCAGTCTTTCAGTAAAATCGGCATTATTCTGTTACGCAGCAGCACAATTGCTGAATTCATACGCCATAGATTCCCACATTTGGTTTTCTTGGCATTCTGAGCCATTACTGACGCATGTGGTCCCCCAATTAGGGGGAAAAGGGCTGAAACAGGAGCAGCAGGGGCCTTGTGTCATTTGTTCTGTTACAGAAAATGACATATTATATAGTTTACATATTAACATGGTTTAACATAGAGAGATAAACCAGGAGTGCAGACACCTGTACTCGATTATGGCAAGCTTTCAATGCATTCCTTTTCAAAAACACACCATAATCATCATGGGGCCAGACCTCATGCCTAGGGTACGATTGGTAGCATCTCTGTGACATATGTATACATGATTATAGAGTTCATCTCTTCAAATTAGCATGCACATGAGGTGCCCAGATGCAGTATGATGTTGCATGGTGTTTGCACATGTTAATCCTTAAAATACAGCTAGGAATTTACATTATCTTTTTAAAGAGAGCATATAGTCTTTTCCATTATTTTAAGAAATAGAATAAATGTCAAAAAGATTAGCTTGATGTAAATAAACATATTGATTTATTGTATTATTTATAAAAAAAACGTTTTTTATGCTTAATTTGTAATGATGTGATTGGGTGTTCTATGCAAACCGAATTCTCACCACATTTACTAAGCTAGGGAAAAATCCTCTTGCAAAGTGAACAGCCTTTTTGCCTTTTAGTAAATCAACCCCTTTGAGTGTAATAATACATTTAAATTTCATAATCACAATAGTTATGGGACATCATTAGAGAGAAGAGAAGGATAACCCGTGCAAAGGCAGTGTTAACCTTTATACATGCCTAAAAAAAGGCATCTTGTATTATATTACCTATTATTTTTGTAAATGTATTTGCTCCCAAAAGTGATAATAATGATTGGTTTTACAGATCTGTCCAGCTCTCAGGCACGCAGGGTTGGTCTTACTTAATTCTCTACTTAACACAATACCTGGTGAGTCTGTTTCTATTTATTTAATTTTGTATATATTTTAGACATTCACTTCTTGGTTCTCCAATAAAATCGATAAATTTGTCTTGTGTGCTTAGCATTCAACAATGGCTGACCAATGGTCATGTCAAGTTCCTGTACACAATTACCTTATCCTACGACTTTCATGAATACTGTGGAAAAATGTATTCACTAGTTTGAAATATTGTATTATATTTAAAATAGTATAATATTTAAAACTGTTGTATAACTGCTGTATGTCAGTCATCAATACTAACATACTATATCTACTTTATACTACCTGTGCTGTTGATTTTAATATTAAACCTTGCGTGTACAGTACCTTTTAAATATGAGCTGATGGTCAAGTCATGAGAATTTCTTTGCAAAATACAACAATCTTTATCTTGGGCAATTTCACATTTTATACTTTGTTGCGTAGACATTGTTTTTCTCTTATTATCTATTGTCCTTGGACATTAGGCAGTCCTTGAACTGCGAAGTCTCCAAAATGATTAGCTTGTATGCAGTGAAATACAACAATGCTTCCGCCCTGCAAAATCCTGAAGGAAAAGTTTCCCAGTAAACATTTTAATTTTGAGATTAAGAAACCTGGCATTTCCTGTCCATGTTATCTTCAGGAGATGCTGTGGCCCTGAAGTTCTAAACAATGAGAGGGTCATACTGTCATTCTGTCTGGTGCCAAAGCAGACACCACAATCAATGAGGTCTTTATTTTACAGTATATTATATTTTGAAATGCTGACAAACTTGTTCAGGGTAGTTTTACTTATTTGTGTAGATCATAAAGATCAGTTGCTGATAAGAATGCATGTTACTCTATATTAGCATCTCTCAACCTTTTTTCGGTCACGGCATTCTTTAAAAGTAAGCAAGATCTCAACGCACCCCAGTCTAAACAGTAAATAATTATGTGTGGTTTTCCCCAAAATCTTATCCTAAATAGGGATCTGATGCATTTTAGGGGGACCACACGCAAAAAACAAAGCATTTTGTGGAGCTGTCCCTTCACATCAGAGGCCCATTAGCAGCTCCCTTCCCATCAGTAAACCCCCTTCACATCAGAGTTCTCAGTTCTCACCTTCATAGCAGTCTTAGCTTATAACCTCTATCACTGTGCGGCTGCAGGAGCATGACAGAGGGCGGGAGGAGGAGCAGGTCTGGAAGGGCGTGGACTTCTGTCCTCTTCTGTATGCTGGGGGAGATTTGGGATGCAGCTACACTGTATTAGTGTCATGGGTGTCCATGGTGCTAGTGGCCACCATGGAAATTAATAATACTGTGCAAAACTTTGAAGGCACCCCTAACAAAGCCAGAAGGCACTCCAAGGTGTCGCGGTTGAGAAAGTTTGCTCTATATACTTATAACAATGATAATTTGGAAAGAGCTCAGATATAAAAACAATATTTTGATGCTGGTTATGTCTTATGTGATATTATGTTAAGGCAGTGCAATGTAAGGTCCGCAAAGGTCCACATACACTGACTTGGCCTCCTCCCCCTGTAAAATCATTGTACAGCCAAATGTTACCTGTAGAGAAAAAAGTTAGATTTCATACTTACCTTATTCCCGTGGCTGCTAGGCACGGTTGACGTTGCATTCCATCTGGTATGATCCTGGAAATAACATAGCAGCCCAAATATCGTGAGAATACTCTCTTGGAATGGACTGGAGCATCTTCTCACAAGATTTTGCCTGCTTTACATTTTCCAGGAATCTTCCTGGAAGGATAGTTATGTCATGTTAAGTAATTTGGAAAAAAAGTGGATAAGGTATAACATCTACCTCTTCTTTTTTTTGTGTGCTGGTAACCTACCTACTATTAGCAAGGGGGAGTGGAGCCAGGCAGTATATGAGGACCTTGCATTGCACTGCAAGGTCTACTTTAATTGGATATTGCCTGCTCACAAATGTATATAAATGAACCTTACAAATTAATCATATGAGACTAGGGGGTACATTTATAAAAGTTCTGCTTGACGTATAGCCGGACAGATGCCATTCGCACGGCACTAGCGCCCCTGGATAACGCTGGCAAGCATAGGAGGGAGTTATACCCACTATAGTCCAAAAGAAAATAGATGTGGTTAATGTAATATGTGTAAAGGCGCTTTGAGTTCTCTAGTTATTGATAATGATTCTCTCCACTATTCCAGTGAAGAATCCAGTAGATGATTACATTGGCATAGACTATTCCTTGCTGAGTGACCCCCTTGTATCTGAAGACAGTCTGGATATGGATTTCAGGGTAGGTGAAATCTTTCATCTGTGCAATTATATTTTCACGAAAATGTTATGTTTAGGTCTGTCAGTGCACTGTAGCCTAAACAGGGGATGATATAGACCAGGGCTCAAAATTTCCACTCGCCCCTCGCAATTGGCGAGTGAAAATTGCGTGGGGGCGAGTGGAAATCCAAGGGCGGGGACTTCCGCCACTTCGGCAGCGCCGATCGCTGTCTGTTTCCTCCACCCGCTTCTTGGAGCGGCATAGGGTTGCCACCTTTTCTTCAAGCGAAACCCGAACACTCCAACAACGCACGGTCATTTTTGTGGGAGAATGAGTCGTGGCTTGTTCAAATGTAAAAAGTGCCGCCCATTCATATGTAAATATCACCGTTGAGACTATTTTCAGTGGGGGGCAAGTAGCCCCTATCCTAATGCGGTGCCTCTCCAAGAAGCTGTGGGGACAAAGGATGACATGGTGGGGACACACAGGATGACATGGTGGGGACACAGGATGATATGGTGGGGGCACAAAGGATGACATGGTGGGGACACACAGATATGGTGGAAATTCAGTAAATGCTTAGCACCACTTTTCTGGTCATAGCATATATTATACAGTTATAACATCGGCATTGTAAAAGGAATACATACTAGAGTTGTTTTTGATAATGCAATCAAAGTTTACTTTAAAAAATCCCTTTTATGTTGTGAGTGCTGCCTTCTGTCTGCCCATCACTTCCAACAACTTCCTGGATTTTCAGTGTGCTTTGCGTCTCTTTCCCTGCTGCTTGATGTGATGTAATCTCAGTTTCTCAAAACCACATATCCCATTATGCATTGCTTCCAGCAAGCAATGATGATGTTACATTGTTCAGCGCTGCGCAAACTGTTGGCGCTATATGAATCCTGTATAATAATAATAATAATAATATAATAATGTTGAATTGTAGATCAGAAGGCAGGCTCTGTGAGAGAGTGCATATTCATCGGGCTTAGTGAAATTGTGTCAGTGCACCGAGGAAGTACATCCTATGAGCAACTTCAATAAGTCATTTTACAAATGTCTAAATCGATATAGTTATTAGGAGTGGGATGTATGTAACTTATAGTTGTTATTGGTGAATAAAGACACGGGGATCTAGTTCAAGCTATATGTGTATATGTATGGGTCACTAAGAGCATCTATCCCCTTTTATATTGTGTTCACTGAGGAAAGCATCCAAATATTTCTTGCATGAGTCAATCTCAATATCGTTAATAAACAGGTTAAACAGCATTGGCCCTAAGACAGAACCCTGGGGCACGCCACCCCCAACCCACCACTTATGGAAATTTAATATTTCTAGTTTTTAACTATAGATACTCTTTAATTGTGCTGCTGTTTTGAGTGGGATGTCTCTTCTTCAGTAATAAATCTGTTTTGGACACTTGCAATCTGTTTCTGCAGCCCATGATTTTAGCTGCAGGAGTCACAAATACACAGAACTGTAACATATACTTTGCTAAATGAGAAGCAGGTTCATTTGTGTCATATGGTGTCACTAATCTGCTTGATAAATGTCCCTTATTGTGTTTATATGTAGTTTATACACTCTAATCATACTTAATAACATATTTGTATATGTTTGTTGTCTTTAGGGTATGTTTTATTCCCTGAATGCAGAGAATGACTCAATTCCCAACACATCTCCAGCCCTGCACATAAAACAGAAGGAACGCATGGTGTATATTGCACTCTCTGAGTATTTCTTTGATTCTGCAATGTATGCGTATTATCGATCGGGCGTACTCAGCCTGGAAATTGCTAATGAAGAGGTGAGTGTACTCACACACTATCAGGGTTATTCACAGAAGGGTGAAGAGTTCGGAGAAGACAGGAGAAGTGAACAATCTAGGCCAAAATAACTGAAATTGAGCTGAATTGGAGAATTTTTTCAATTCACCTATTTTGTCCTAGATTGTTCACTTCTCCTGCCTTCTCCAAACTCTTCACCCTTTTGTGAATAACCCTGTATGATTTCAGTAAGGAAAATAAATGTGCCACATTAACCATTTTGTAATTTAATGTTTTTAAAATTACCTTACTCTTAAAGGAGATCTATTAGGTGAGTGATTTCCACTCAACGTCATAGTTAGAGCCGACCTGTGACAAAGAAGCTGTCACAGGTCGGCTCTATCGATCGGGAAATGAGCAGAAACATGCACCAATCCGCTCACTTCCCCATTGTCTCCCTGCAGTGAGCGGTGACTGTCAGTCACCGCTCGCCGCAGGGATTCCCCCCCTCCCCTCTCAGATTCTACAGCGCAGATTCTCCAGCGAATGGAGGAATGAACGGGGGGAGGGCACAGCTAGATAGGCAGAGCCAGCTGTCACCCACGCAGCTGGGTGGATCTCGACAGTAATGTCGGGATCCGTCCCTGCTGCGGCGCTAACAGTATACCACGGGCAATAGCCCGGCGATATACTGAGCTTTGGGTCACGGGAGGATGCTAGTATATGTCCTCTGTCACCCTAAAGAGAACTACGGGGAAAAACACTTACCCCATAGTTCTCTTTTCATGTTGCACTATGAAGAGTCTACTTGTATTTGTACATATAAAATATTCTTAAAAAATAAAAAAATGACCTTTCTATTTCAATCTGAAGCCATTGTAGTTTTTTAAAACTGTTAAAAAAATTAATGTAATAACGCAAATGCCATTTATTGCCTGTGTGATTGGCTCATTGATTTTCCCAGAAATCTGCACAATAATCTGTAGGATATAAATTAAATTGTGGGCATGCCTTGAACAGAAATTTCATTTTTGGTAAATTACACCCTATGGGTTCATTCACACAGGTGTGCATTCCACTTGCATTTTTTAGCTTTAAAAAATGTATGGATTTGTGTTATAGGCAGCAGAGTTGGCACACGGGTCATTTTCAAACATTTTTATCTACCTCTTTATAGCCTGTTTTACAAACCTGCAATTTCCATACACAAGTGGATTACCCATCCCAATGTCCCAAGGACTTATACCCTCTAAGGCGGTTCAAAATTCAGTATGAAGTTTCAGTTAGACAAGCTACTGCTGCATTAAATACTGTAATGTGTGTGTGCGTGCGTGCGTGTGTTTGTGTGCATATATACTGTATATCTATACCCTGGCCACAGGTTATCTTTAAGGAAATAATTCTGCCAAATTAAACCAGCATTTTGAAGTGTTTTTTAAACACCACCAAATATATGAGAAGCAACTTTGTATTTCTCTTTCATCCAGTATTACATGTTTTACTTGTAGAAGCACAAAATCATTTATTAAATGGTTGTATAGTGCACAGAACAACATCCTTGCAGCATTATCAGTTTTTAAAATAATGTTATGTCTCTGTTGACTTGTAATATAGGTGGTTGTTATTTCTGTAGAGGTATCTTTGCAACATTTATTTGTCTCTTTAGGTGCCCAAAGACTTGGAGGTTTTGCTCAGGACATCATACTTTGGAAGTCTCATGCTTCTGGTAAGGCTTGTACGATATGGGGGTTGCATGCACAGCCTGCTGACCATGACATTCTTTTGGTCCCAGAATTCATCTTTGAGGTCTTAGGCTCAATAGATATTATATAAAAATTTCTGTATTAAAGTGACACTACACTCAGGAATTAGTGTGTAGTATACAAAGTTCTTGATAGTTGCACTCACGAGGCAGGTAATACACCCTATTTGTGAATAAAAGTGCCTCCAGGTGCAAAATAAGACTTGGACTCCGGTTTTCGGAGAACAGCAAAATAACTTTTGCTATATCTATTTGATATTGGGGATTAATCTGTATTTTATATGACACTGCAATTCTGTGCTTTTGATCCTGCTTATAGGATCCTTCTGTGGCTGAGGCTCCAATGAAGCTAGAATTACGGGTTTCCACAGCTCCCCGATTCACCATAAAGCCAACTGGAACAAGTGTCTCAGTCAACGCCATCTTGAACATATACCTGATTCCACCAGCCCAGCCCCCTGTGCAGCTGAGCAGTATGACCATGGTAAGTGCAATGCTTGACTTTAATATTGTTGTGTATATGTATATATATCTATATATATCTATATATATAGATATATATAGATATATATATATATAGATAGTACATGTGTAGTTTTTATATATTTTCTTTATTCATTCATTATGTTCATGTTTCTCACTTGCAGCCAGCAGGTGACAAGTTCCTTGTTAGAGTACTATCTGTTCACCAGCTCTTATAGTGATGTAAACAGACCTAAAAAGCAGAAGAGCTCAGATTACACAGCCTGCTAAATTACTCAGAGGAAGCACACACTTCCTCTGAGTAGTCAGTTATACACAGACTTCCACAAAGCATACAGACAGTGTTGGTCTTAGCAAAGACAGCATTAGTTCGGTTATACTTAGTCGGTGTATAGGCAATACAACACAGCATGCTTTGCTAACTGAGTGTCATGGATGCACCCTGCATAGATCTAAAAAAAAATGTGATGCAAATAATTTTAAAAAGTAGGCGACATATAACACATCAGTTAATAAACTTGTAAACTTACATGAATAATGCAAAAAAAAACCCACATCTAGAAGAATCCTGAGGAATATTGAATATTTTTTATTATATTACTGGGACTGATCAAATGATCATAGCAGGCTAATCTGCCCCCTTAGTGTCTGTGAAGGTTCTCATTCATCCAGGTCATGGTATATCTGTATAAAATAAGTCAAGGCAACTGGACTTGCTGCATTTTTCTTGAAGACGTTTCACTGGACATCCGACCAGCTTTCTCAATTCAGAATTCTGAATTGAGAAAGCTGGTCGGATGTCTAGTGAAACGTCTTCAAGAAAAATACAGCAAGTCCAGTTGCCTTGACTTATTTTTTACAGATATGCCCCCTTAGTATTCACTTTCACTGGAAAAGTTTGCCTTAGTATATACAGAACAAAAGCGGGTAATGACTTGCAATAAAGTATGGTAAAATCAGTATGCCTAATGTAGTTTCAGAATAGATGTAAGCCCAATCACTAAAATAAGCTAAGATAAGCTTTAACATGTTGATGTAATTTCAAACATTGTTCTCAGTGTTGCTAGTATACAATAGTCATTAAAAGAATACCTGGTGATCCTGCCACAAAGGCCCCCTGTTCAGGCACAAATCGATACACAATGCTATAGGAAACTAAATGTCATCCATTTAGGGTCTAGATATACTTTAATTCATCACTGTATCTGTCTCCAGGAATCCCGACTTAGTGCCCGGGTAACTCTGAAGAAGACCACATTACAAGTTCATCTGGACCTTAAGCGGTAATGTATCCAAAACTCCCTTCTCCTTCCCAGTCATGCGTTTTGTATATTCACACCAGTGCATTGCGGTACCATACGGTTTACTGTGCTTTATGGCAGATGCAAGACAACACATATAATGTGGTGCATAGGGGTGGTATTCATTTTGAATGGCACCTCTATGCACTAACACAATGCATTGGGATGTGAAGATGTGGGCATTGTGGTGGGTTGCATTAAAAAAATGTGGCATGCAAAAGTTTAGATGGCTCAAAGCAGAAACTACATAAATTATTTTATATTTTTCATTGCGAGTTTATTTCCTTGTTAATAAATGCCTCACATTCAACTGTGCTGCAAATTAGGTGACTTTCGATTGAAGGTTTCTCACGATGCCAAGTGCTTAACATTTACTGTGCTGTTGAGCCCTGAAGATCATTAAAGGAGAACCATGGAGTAAGTGTTTTTCCCCATAGTTCTCTTTAGGGTCACGGGAGTACATATGCTAACCTCCTCCCGTGACCCAAAGCTCAGTATATAGCGGACTATTGCCCGCGATATACTGACAGCGCTGCAGGCGGGACGGATCCCGACAATTCTGTCAAGATCCTCCTAACTGCGTGAATGACAGCTGGCTCTGCCTATCTAGAGGCAGAGCCAGCTGTGCCCGCCCCCTCCCCGTCCGTTCCGCCAGTCAGCACTGGAGGATCGGAGAGGGGATGGGGAAATCCCTGCGGGGAGCGGTGACTGACAGTCAGCGCTCACTGCACGGAGACGATTGGGAAGTGAGCAGATCACTGCATGTTTCTGCGCACTTCCCAATCAATAGAGCCGACCAGTGACAGCTTCATTGTCACAGGTCGGCTCTAACAATGAGGATGAGTGAAAAACACTCACCTCATAGTTCTCCTTTAAACATTTAGGGCTATTTTTATAATCAATTTGCAGAGTCATTCTCCCTGCAAAAATCCATGAACGTGTATACTGTGCAAACGGAGCCCAAAACAAATATTTTTAGAACACTTTATTTTCAAATCCAATGGACTATATGTAAAATATAGCCACTAGATGGCGCTGTGAAGCATAGGAGAGTAGTATTTATTTCATTTATGCATCACCTCCATCTGGTGGCCATAAAGCCTTATTACATGATGACATTTGAAATTACATTGGACTTATTATTATTATTATTTTGATACAGGATTTATATAGCGCCAACAGTTTGATGCTGCACTTTACAAAATTACAATCTAGTAGACTTATAAAAAAAATATACTAAAAGCGTTATTTTTGTGCATTAATTCACACAGAATGTACATTCAAGAGATACGCAGGGCAAATGGCTCTGTGAATTGTTCATAAATAGGCTCCAAGCAAGCTAAATAACACTTCATGCTAGAGCCAGTTTATTCTTATGACAGAACTAATTTCATTTTAAATATCTTGTTTTCTTATTATGTGAAACATTTACATGAGCATGAGATGAGATCACTAAATCATTGACAAAAACCTTTTAATGAAGTTATGTAATTTATGTTCATAGGCAATTTAACCTATTTTGTGTGTACATGTTGGGAAAGGCATAAAATATTTGCTTCAGTTATTTATTATCCTTCACAGATTTAGAATCTATTCAAACAAGTCAGCACTGGAATCCCTGGCCGTAAGTTACTGTCTGTTAATTTATAATAAACACATTTGGAATGGAAAATGTATTTTAATGTAAATTGTTTCTCCCACAGCTTATACCTTTGCAAGGTCCTCTGAAGACCCTTTTGCAGCTCACTGTGATGCCTGTCCTTAATGGTAAGCCGAGTTTGGCGTAGGGGACTGCAAGTGGCCTGCAAAGAGCAATGTATTCAACCCTCCTGAACTCTTTTTGGATGAATTGAAATGGGAGCCAGGTCTTTTATTAAACATCAGTACCTGACCTCAAAAATTCCTACCCACACACTCCAAAATCCTGTGCAAAGCCTCCCAAAAGAGGCTGTTGTACCTGCAAAGGGGGGCAACTCCATAATAATACCATATTAAAGCTCACATTGGTGTGATGGTTATATATCGACAAGCTTTTGGCCATATAGCGTAGCAGCAATGGGGTTCCAGCTGTCATTAGCCTAGCACAGACTAGAAAATGAAAATGTCATTGGTTAATCATTGGTCTATCTTTAGTTCTAGTTTTTATATGTTATCGCCATCACTAAAGAGAGTTTTTGGTGCTGAATGAAGACACTGAAGACTATTGGAGTTACACCAAGCATCACAGTCCTTAAACCATCACTAATTATTACAGTTTCTCTCAGGGGTTCTTTCAGCAACTCTTCCTTTGTGGCCAAAGCCATACTTAAAAAGGAAAACGTTACAGAAGCCTAAGTAAGCTTAACCCACTGACCCATGCCCCCCTCCCCACCCAATGCCTAAGTCTAGTAATTGCCTGTTTACAAAACCAAGCAATGAATTGTGGGAGGAAGGGGTGAATGTCACATGTGCTCCATACCTAGAAGTACTGGATTTCATTTTAGGCCCCAGCAGCAGGTCAAGGTGACAAGGTAGAGTGTGAAAAGTAAGCACGATACCAATGGGAGAGGCCTCCCCCCCAGAAATAGAAGACTGTCAGTTTTGATTTCACTCTCGTGTTAAGCACTACCACATCAATCTGTTCTTAGAGATGTGAGGAGCAAGTTTCTATTGCAACTCAATGCAATCCACATGCCCACTGCGAGAAACCTCTGCAACAATGTGCTCAGAGTCACAGCTGGCTGGGGCAGCATACACAAATCAGAATGCAGCTGGAACCAAGAGATGAGTAGGAAACACATACAAGGAAACCACACAGGAAAAAGGGACTCATTATTGAGATGTATGATGGAGACACCCCTATAATTGACACAAGATTTTTAACAAGAGATGGAAGAATTCTGCTTATAATTGACCTATGTTCCACAGAAAGAACAAAGGGAGGAGTCAGCATCCCACTTCCCGAAGGGTTGGATTTCACCAGAGAAACCACTACACATCACGCTGTAAGTTGCCAAAATGTCACACAAGATTTAATCTGACATGTTGGTGCCTTTAATAAGAACAAGATGTATGATGTTGCTGCCTATGTTTTATGCAGGGTTTTATTCTTATTGGTGGAGATCTACACTTCTCCAAGAGTTTGCGTGAAGTCATCGAGAAGTACCGTCCTGAGACAACATCTCTTCCAGCAACCACCGAAGGCACCAATGAGGCTGTCTGAGAACCAACATACCCAAGTCTCTATGGAGACCATAGAATGAGTTTACTCTAAGATACAGCTCAGTGAGAGCATATAAGAAACCTTTGAGGTGGCCTAACTATCAAAGGGTCTCCCAAAATGATTCACTCAAAACCGTCCAATAGTCTACAGGAAGGCCCGTGGATCATATTAGACTGTCAAAAGCATTGTATGAGGGCAACAGGATTCCAGAGGAATCTTACGTCTGATTTTAAAATTCCAACATGCATTTATTTTTTTATCCAACAAGAGACTTTATTGATAAAGACATCATTGTTCTAAAAAGCAGTAACATATTTAAAGGAGTTTACCATCATTGTGAAAAAAGCAAACTGTCTAACCTTAATGATCAATAACACTATGTATAACTAACACATAACATACAGAATAACAGAAAGGTCTGATTTAACAAAGATTTTTGTGTTGTCTCATCGATTGGGGTGATCTAGAAGAACTTGTTATTGAGGAACTGATGGAATATAATGAAAGATGCTTCAGGTTTGTCTTTTGGTACCACATGACCAGCTCCCTGTAAACACTGGAAATGAGACTCAATAAAGAATAAGTGCACTGTCAAACAATGTGCACTTATCAATTTTGTGTGCCCCCAACCCTGACCTGAAGTACCCACTTCCGCTCCCCAGATACATGCTTGCTCCAATTCCACAACTATGGTCTTCAACAATGGTGTCCCGGGAGGGAATTAATAATAGTTGACTGTAATTTTAGATAGCAGGGCCTCTGTCCAAAGAAATTTTGACTCCTACAAGAGAAGATGTTGAATGCCTATCTTATTGGATGGCAGTGTCCAAACTCCACCTTCTCCAAGTGGTACAAGCTGCGGAAAAGCCTTCAGCATTTGAGATTTCCAGGGGTGTCAGATGCCTCTGTTTTCCGCTGTGCAATTTGGTTCTTCCCTCCAGCCTCTATGTCTCCTGAGTCTAGTAGTTGGCAAGGGCTTAGCAGTTCTTCTCACATCTGTGTCCTGTAGTGATGTAGGCATTGGCGGGAGGAACCATTGAGCACAGTGGAGGACACCGGAGATTGTTACTTTGGATGTGTCGATTTCTGCACAGACTTAAACTGGCAATTCCTCCTTGATCATAGGAGCGGTGCAAGCAGCATTAGAGGTATGTAGTTACATTCTTCTTTACATGCACAGCTTTATTGTAAATAATCGGTTAAGTGACAAGGTTGCTATAATGGTAACAACATACATATGAAAGATGTGGTAGAATTCCTTCAAGGTGATGATATTTGAGAAATGAAGGGGAAGAAAAAGATGGGTATTATAATGCATGTTAAGGGAAAACTGAGCTGAAAAAAAAGATGGGGTCTGCTATTGTTGGCTTCATTCTGAAAAAGCCATTTGCCTGACAGTTCTGCTGATCCACTCCCTTCAACACTTTGTCTCTCATCTGAAACAAACATGCAGTGAAAGAATGCAGACTAAAGTCATAACACATGACCTACAGTACATACTTTTTTCATTGACTCAGAAGCTATTATATCAGCACAATAGTCAGGCAACTTGTGTTTTAGAAGGAGATGTCTACCAAGATAACCTCCATATTTCTCTAAATGAAAGAGAAGCTGGGTTGTAAATGAAATGTATAAAGCATCTTCACAGTCAGATGGCACAGCATCTGTGTACGATCTTCCCCTATGCCACCATGTATAGTAGGGTACCTGTAACTGCACTCTATAAAGAATGCATTACAACGCATCCACAAAAAATGACCCAGAAGCAGGGGGCAGCCTTACAATACCTGTGGGAACAGTTCAATTACTAAACTTGTGCTGCCTGAAACCTTCAAGAAACTACTAAGTGAACACTCCTTCTCTCAAAGTCGATATTTGCATAGGCATTGGCTTTCCCCATTGTGACAAAGCCCAAGCTTGCTGATTGGCTCCTTAATACGAGGCATTGCATTGTAGGATGGGGGCCATGCCTGATAGCCACTATTATTAAGCAGAGATGCTGTGGGGGCTCCTATTGGCTTTCTCACTCCTAAGTGTGTGCTGAGAGATTATGCTGTTAGCTGTCCACTGCAGATATTGGTTTAGTAGTTGTATTTTACTCACAGGTTTATAGAAAGGTGTAAAGCCACAGATCACAGATTTTGAATGCATGATGGATTTTATTTACTTTTTTTTTATATTCTTTCTACAGAGATCCACTTTAAAAAAAAAAAGCAAAAAACCCCCCCAAAAAAACAAAGTGACATTGCAAACTTTAAAAAAGAGCTGATTGCAGCACGTGAAGCTAAATTATACCTGTATTTAGTCATCCACAACATTATTATGCTGTTAGCAATTGCTTTTAACCACTTGAACTGCAATTTACAAAAATTGCAATTAGCTGCTCTTTCCTGCTTAACAAATCCAGTGGATATCTTAAGCATGGTACGTTGTTGACATTTTTGCTAATGAAAATTTGTACTGTAGTTTCTGGTGGTGGAGCATTGGCAGAGAAGATTTTTAGCACCAGCAATCTGCAGATGAACAAATAAATACCAGCATTATGCTGAATATTTTATAGCACATGATGTTTCAGAGAAGCAATAATCACATCCATAAAATAAGACTGAACAGTTTATTCTAACGCCTACACCTACTATCCAATTTTTTACATAAAACACTGAACCTCAACCTAGCCCCTAGCTCTTAATTTAGGCCTCAGCCCTTCCACTAAGCTTTGACCTTCAACTTGACCCCTACGCTTAACCTCAATAATCACAGCACTGATATTACTTTTGCAGCAAAAATTGCTTGCGGGAAAACAAACATACGCTGTTATATATTAGCACTAGCGTGCATCTCTAGCATGTCTCCCACCATGTCTTGTTTATTGTATATAGGATACAAGCAGGCCCGGATTTCCCACAAGGCCTGGCCTCGGGGCAGCAGGGAGTAGAGGGGCAAACCAGCCCTGGATACACGTATCTACTGTTCAACTGTTCAGGGGTGTACAAAAGCCACTCAATGCCCAGAGAGTTACAGGCCCTGTCGATTTCTCCACTGTACACAAAAATATGGTAGCCCTAGAGAGAAGAAGCCAACACCATTTCTTGAAATACATGCAAGCTTATATAAAAATGGATAATGCAGAGAGTGTAATAACCTTTACAGGTTTATTTATTGATACAAAGGGCAATGTGCAGGATGCAATATTTAATCAATGAATTAATCAAACAGAAACTGTTCTTAATGGCTTAATCTGATTCATGGTGGCTATAGTCTATACATACATCATTATTGCTCTTTGTACTGCCTAATTAAAAGGGATGAATAGTAAGCAGACAGACTTTCTAAGAATGGGCTACATATCATTCCTGAAATATGAGGAACCCTTTATCATTTTACCAGGAAGGCCAGTCTAAAGGGAAGGACATGTTTACACTAAAGAGCAGCTCAGAAGGCCATAGAGATACAGTACATTCCCTGTCTCTTCTCAAATATGTTGTTGTTCTTAATTGTCTGTAAATGCAGCGCTGTCTTTCCATACCTCGATCAAACTGTGGGAAGCAAAATATAAGCCTTAGGATAGGGATATCATTCACTAAATCAAATAAAGTATGTTTCTTACATTAAAGGATAAGTGTAGATCTAAATAAAAAAATTTATGAGGTTTCTTACAGCCCTACTACTTGTCATTTTGGGCCTATACCATGTAGACCCCTGGCACAATTTTTCTGTTTTGGTTGCCTGTTAGGGGATATGCCCATTCTCTGCACAGCCATAGAAGATAGTAGTCATCCAGAGAGCAAGTCTGACTTTTCTCCTATGGCTGTGCACGGCATCTATGCTCATCTTTCATAGGTAATCAGAGCAAGAGAGGAGACAGGAGAGGGAGTAGGAAAACTTCTGGCATGGAATGTGTGTGTTGAATGACCAAGGATCCAGAAGCACGAAAGGAGACCAAGTATGAAATGCTTGCTAGCACTGTGTAGAATTCAGAGTGAAACATAAAATAGCGATCCCAAATTATACAGTACAGGACATTCCCACAAAGCACTTCCTACCTACAGTATGTGGACCTTGATGATAAATTACAACAAACGTTCCGAATAGTTTTGGATGGATGTGGAAAATTAAATAATCCTGCCATATTTTTGTTGCTGGCTGTGTCAATCTTGGAGAGCTTTCGCCTCAGTTCTTGACCCGGTGACAGCAGGACTAGCAATGAGGGGAATAGTTGTCACTGGGACAGGAGAACACATATAGTAATAATAACCTGAAAGAAGTTCTATCTACTTCCCCACTTTGTACAAAAAAAAAAAAAGAATTTGACTGTAGTTTGTCTTCAATGAAACCTTCATAAGAAGATCCAGGTACTGTTCTTGTACATTGTCCAACAGAAAACATGATTACAGTCTTGCTCTTCTCCACAACCTTGCACATAATACAAATTCACAAAACATGCTGTACAGGTTGCCTGAAATCTTGTAGCATTATAAACAGGGGAATCTTCTGGGGCTCAGTTCATGAACAGTTCTGCTAATCTTGTTTGAAGTTCAAACTTTGGGAATTTTGCGGCAAGCCCCATTGAAGTCTAACTGCAAATCTTGGTATTCAATTCTGGCCAACTGTAGGGCTAATAAGCAAGCTATTGTTAAACAAAAGACATGGGTAGCCATGCACTGGGAGGACATGTACTGATGCCAAAATTAAAAGCACAGTATAGCACTGTATCTCTCTGCATACAGATTTGTCAACTCTCCCTAACAACAACACACACTATAAACATGGCTGCTGTGGGCCCATTCTTTTATGTTGAGGAGAATGGGTTATCTATTCTTTAAAATTACTGTTTTTTGTGATTGAGCTGAACATTATGAATTGCTCCATAGTTCTGGAGGCAAACCTGCAAAGTTTTCGGTAAACAAATCACCATTTAAGAACTCCAGGGATTTGCCATTAACTCAAACCTCATCCCTATGCAGTATCACTGTGCTCTCTGAGTTCTCTCAATATACAGGGAGGTTGCAAGATTTTATCCAGCTAAATTGTGATAAAATCTTGCTTGAAGAAGCGGCTATTTGTTTATCATTGCTGGTGTTGTAATTAATTTTAGGCCCAATAAAACATAAATACATAAATAACCCTTATCTACCACTCGACTGGGCGTCTCTGTACTATGTTCTTGGATACAGTTCCTTCCACCTACACCAACAAACAGGGGTACTCACCAATGACCACAAACTAAATGGGGGCACTCCACTGCAGTGTGTACACTATGTGGTATGTTACAAAGTCCTGTGCACTGCATACATAGTGCTGCACTGCATACACTATTTTGTAAATAATATAGTCCTA